GATCTTAAGGTATATAGAGATTCCAATCATACATCCAAACCGAAGACCAAAACCAGTAAGTGACCATACCACGACGACCAGGACAACGAGACGAAGAGATCGCCGTCGAGATCGCCGCCGGACTCCGCCGCACGCGCCGCCGCAAGGAAGCAGTCGCTGGAGTTTGTCGTCGCGCGTGAGAGCGCGTGAGACCTCCAATTTCCGATCGGTCAACGCCGTTGACTTCACCGTGACGTCAGCTTTCTGGATTGGTCAAGTTCGCTCGATTCCGAGAAGATTTGATTTGCGGTCAACTGTCCGGGCCAGCCAGATCTACATAAATTTTAAGCAGTAAGTTTTCTTCATCAAACCTTTAGATTCGCTGCGCATAGGTTTATGGTGAATGTTTGTCCGTGATTTGTGCATATCGAGATCCTCGTGGGTTCCAACATTACATACCTCAAGCGGTGCGGCATGACGAAGACGAGTGGTCAATGCTTATACTCATATATTCATAAATACACATAAATCACGTTTAGCAGTCTACAGAAACGCAGACTGGCTCTGATACCAAACTGTAACGCCCCACTTTTATTTGACGAAAGTCAAGGACTTTTAAATAAAAAAGTCAACTTAAAATTTTTCAAAATTCTTTTCATAAATAGGTGGCGCTACTCAACATAAATTCCTAAATCGTCACCACGTAAATCATTCTTGCATAAATCATAAATCATAAATACAACATTTTTATAAATTCCAAGTTCATAAATCACTACTATTCATAAGGGAACATCTCCCATTCCAAAGTCATAAATATCCCCAAGTCATAAATGCATAAATAAACATAAATAGTCTAGCATGCTGAATAAACTAAATGAGGTCAGTCAAAGACCAACACCACTCGTCTTTTGTCTCGTCAGCCGGCACCTGCTTAACCTGCATCCATGAAGAGCAGGTGGGAGTGAACATGATGAACTGTTGTGCTCACCACTATGCACGTAAATAACAACATAATATAACAAAGGGTATGGTCACAACATGATCATAAATCAATTAACATGTCACATCTCCATTCACAAATACCAATTTCATTACTCATGTGTACACACCTATCATTAGACTACTGCTGGCCTGTTCGAGGGCACGCCATGTGACTTAGCTCGTCAACCAGACAGTAGGAGTACATGTCGAAAGCACGCCATGTGACTTAGTTCGACATGCATATCGAAGGCACGCCATGTGACTTAGTCCGATATGGCCTTTCATTAGGTCTTAAAGAGACTTGCCTCACAAGGGCAACCGTACCGTAACTTGACGGGGACAACCATACCGACGGTCATAACAACTCACATCGATAGGCTACATGTTTCATATGCATACATTGATCATACCAATTTCAATAAAAATATAAACCACTTACGACATAGCAATTTAAATAAGACCCACCTAGATACAGAGATATAGCTAAACATAGAGTTGAAGGAATTATGGCAAAAGTTCAGCTCGATGAACCATTCTCGGAAACGTTCGAACGAAAGAATCGAAATGGGGCTGAAGTGAGTCAGACGAATGCGCCGACGGGGCTCAACGGCTAAGCTTTGGATCGCTCGAGTGATGTGCGAGTGATCAGCAGGGCCGGGAGCAATGAATGGGACCCGATGGTGACAGATAGCAACTTGCAGGGAGTGAACAGGGGCAATCCGTGTCGCCGGTGCTCTTGCGATCGTGGAACAGTTCGCAGGGGGTACGTGCGGTACTGCTGGTGCGAAAGAAGGGCAGCGATGGCGTCGGGACTCACTCCTGGAATCAACTCGCGGGGCCTGGTCACGACGAACAGAGGGGATGATTATTCTTATGAGATGGTGGTCGTGAGGAGCTGCAACGATGGGAGCGTCGCTAACGGTGGCCTGAGGAAAGTATACCGTCGGTAAGGATCGTTGGACAGGTTTGCGGGGCCTTCAACGGAGACGACGATCGACCAGATTTCTTCTTCCACTTTTTTTTTAAACTACTGAGAGAGAGATGGAGATCAAGGTTCTTCTGGTGCACGATCGAGAGAGGAGATAAATCTCTTCCTCACGTGAAATAGCGAGAGAAAGAGGGATCGGGGGAGCAAAATTTCATCCGATTTTGCTGGTATTCCCATGCTAATATTCAGCGTTGATTATTAGGGGAGAAACGTGGGAATAGAGAAAAGTCTTATCTTGAAGGGAAAGAAAAATCAAAGTCTAAATGGAGATTAGATATACTAAAATATAAATGCATCAATGGCATATTTGGGGAGAATTAATGGCCGGCAAAAAGGAAAGAGAATGCTAAAACAAATGTTACCTAAAGTGAGTTATTAACAATTGAAAATCTGGGCGGTATCTAATATATTGGGCCGATTAAATATTAGTCAAAAGGTCGGTTCGGGTGCGGGTACACAGTGCGGGGCGCACGGAGTTCTCTCTCGGTCCAACAATAATAAATAATCGAGGCCCGACACGAACGTTTGATAATTAAAAATAAAACGCGATATAAATATATATATATATATAATACACACAAACAATATTTATTAATATTAAACATTTAATCACATACACATAGTTAGGCAATTTAGACATTTAATATAAACAACAATAATATTCATTTAATAATAATAAACATTTAAACATTTAAAAAGATTTATACATTTAATGACATTTAGGCAAATAATAATAATAACAATAATAATAATAATAAAAGCAAAAATAATATAAATAATTCCCAAATATTTCCCAAATAAACGGGGCATTACAATTATTATTAATTATTATTTGTCTAAATGTCATTATATGTCTAATTATTAGTTAATGTTTAAAATGCCTAATTTATTAATTGCCTAATAATATGTAAATAAATATTAATTATGGTGATGTGATTAAATGTGTATTATATATATATTCATTCTATCTGGTTTTAATTAAATAATTGAGCTTTCGTTTTTATCCCGAGAAACTGGCCCGTAGTATTAGACACACGCCCGGTTTTTTGAACCCGACCCGCTCTTTTGCTTGGTGGAGAAACTAACTAATTAAAAACCTACATTAATGCTTAAAATATTGGGATTAATATCCCTAAGCTTGGCAGATAAAGATTTAAACCGCAACCATCTATTATCTTTTTTCTTCCTCGCAACTCGTCCAATCTCTCTCGCCCTCTCGTACTCTCTCCCATCTCTCTCTGCTCGCGATAACCATCGACCAAGAAAAGACTTTTTCTCTCGTTCGTTCCGTCATCACCATCAAGCATCACCACCATCATCGATTTTCTTCCCAGCGCACCATCGATCATCTCCTTGAGCAGCAGGTCGCGCCATCACTATCATCATCCATCTCATGCCATCAATCGCGACTTCACAGGCCCTCGCCATCACCATTGCGAACCAGTCCAGCGAGAACCCCGTCGCGAGCTTGTCCCCGTGCAGATTCCGGCTACCCCCTATTTCATCTCGAACCAGTCCGACGAGAACCCCAACGCGAGCTTGTCCCCGAGCAGGCCCTTTCGGCGACCCACCATCGCGCGCAGGCCCAGTCTCCGTCGTACTAGAGCCGCTGCTCCACCGCGAGCTTCAGCCGAGCCCCGTCGAGGAAGGCAACGTCCGTACAACCGACGACCAACCCCAGCAACAACCCAGCAGCTGAGAAGAACCGCCACTGCTCTTCCTCCAGCGAACCACGTGAAGCCTCCAAACTCGTTTGCCACCGCGAGCGCCTTTGCTAGCCGCCGTGTGTTTGTCGTCGTCCCTCATTCGGCCCTTTTCCTTGCTCGTTTAGCGTATCGTGTCCCGAGAATGGTATTCTTTCGAGGCCGGACTGAAATTATATTGTTGCTCAATATTATCAAATCAAAATTTGTAATAATTCAAGTGAAAATCGTAAGATTTTATTGTTCTATCGTGGTTAATAAGACCGAGTTGGACCTCGGACAACGTGTTTCGATATTTTAGTGTTTAAGTCTTAAAGAATGGAAATCGAGGCTTGCTTAACATATGAATTAGTGTTTTGGTTGCTATGTTCATGAGTGTGATTTTGGTTGAATTTGATTGAAAAACGTCAAGTTATGGCCTCTGTTTGTGCTCAGTTTTTCATATCATAGAAGTTGTTTTCTGGTTAAGTGTTCATCATGAGTTTTGTAGTTATTTGAGTTAGGTTTCAGTGAGTTTTAGAATTTTGTGATTCGGAGTTGAGATGATTTTTATATGAATTTTCAAAGTTAGACGAGCATGCTGTTTTGATAAACTCGGGCAGAAAAGTTGATCTTAGTTCATGGCTATTTTTTATGATCTTAGCATGCCTGAATGAAAATGTATTTTGCTTGGAAAATGTAGTACATGCTGTAAGCTGCTTGTGAGAGTTGGAATTTCTGAAAAAAGAGTTGATTTGAATTTTATATGATTTTCCTAAGTGGGATGTACACCCAGTTTTTATGAACCATGGTTGTGTTTAAGTGTTGAAGGTGTGCTCTGTTTTGATGACATGAAAGTGTTCGTATGAAAAAGTTTTCTTCATAACAATTGTATATTTTCATGTGTAGATTCTGCAGGAATTGAGTTTGTATGAATTGGAGTTGTGTAGCTTGAGTTGTTGCCATTTTACCAAGGTGTTGTATATTTGAAAAAAAAATATTCGTTGTTTCTGTTGTATCTCAGTTTAAGCCACTAGAAACAAATTATTTGAAGTTTCTTTCTTTATATGAAATGTAATATATTCAGTTCTCTATATCATGGCATTAAAATTTTGTAATTCCGAGCTATATCGAATAAGTTATGATTTTTACGAGTATATTGCGCGTCAAGTTTTTCATGTTACCCGGCAGCTTGTGTGTAATTAATGTGTGACCTGTTTATCGTGTCGTAATGTGCTCATATAAACTTATACTCTTCAAGAAAGTTATAGGTCTGTTTCTTATCTTTCAAATGAGATATATTTCATGTCTATATGTGCTCTGTAGCTCGAGTTTTGTTCTTATGAAGGTTGACATGCATGAGATAAAGTTTTGTACCGGGATATAAATCTGAAGCTGATTGTTAACTTTTTTTTATGTTATCTTAATGATCTTATATGCTTGAGTGTTCTTCATGAAATGGATAGAGGCATGAGTTAGGGATATTTTTCAAGTGGTTTCATCATGGTATTATTTGTAGACTAAAAGCTACATGCATTTTAAATTCATCGCGCATGATGAAAATTATTGCAAGTTCGTGTTTAGAATTCTAAATTGAGTCGCGTTGTTTAAAAGCATGTTTATGTGGCATAACTGAACCATGTCATGTTATGTGATGTTTATATGATCCTTCAAAGTCCTATGTGCTAAAAGTTAAGCAAGCCAAGATATCCAACAACCGAAAAGACTTATACATAAAGCATATTCAAAGTTTATATATATGTATAAGACTCCGAGAATAAGATAAGCCTTGATAAGATTCTAAGGCAAGGCCCAACGAATGTAGGTGTTTGACGAACTGTGCCTCGACTGCCTGCTGCTTTCCTGGTTTTATTGCTTTACTTCGGATACCAGGTGGGTTTTACTTATAAAATTTTCTATGCCGTAAATAATTTATTTGTTGTTGGGTTGGTATGATCAGTGCATGTTTGCGAATTTGTGTAACCTTCGATGTGAGCTGTATGTCCTTCGAACGGTTGTCCCCGTCGTTGAGAGTTGTATTTCCTTCGACGGTGCCCTTGTGTGGCAATCTCCCTAAGTCCTAATGATAGGCCATACCGTTGAGAGATGTATGTCCTTCGGTATGCACTCCCATTGTTGAGAGTTGTATGTCCTTCAATGGCTAATGATAGATGTGCACATGAGTGAGGTTATTGGTATATTGATTGGAGATGTGAAATGTTGAATTAATTTATGATCATGTTGTGACCATACCCTTGCTATATTATGTTGTTATTTACGTGCATAGTGGTGAGCACTCATTTTCATCTTGTGCTCATCCCCACCTGCTCTTCACGAATGCAGGTTAAGCCGGTGTTGGGTGACGAGAAAAGACGAGTGGGTCGGTCCTTTAATTATGCATATTTACTTCGCTTCCGTTAGAATAAATGAGGTCCTGTTGAACCTTCTATGTTGAAGCTTGTGAAAACTTTTTTTTTTTCAAAACTTATGATTTGTTTTGATGTTGGGAATATTTGATGAACCCTTATTGTTGAAATTAAGACGTTTGGTTTTGTGAGGTTTGAATATTCATGTTGAGTACTTTGTCATGGGATATGATTTGGGTTAATGAAAACCTTGTGAAAATCGAGTAATGAATCCCCGTGGGCCCATATAAGACTTGGGTTATGAAAAATGTTGTTAACACCCATTGAATTTCGAAAATGATCTCGAAAAAAATTGTTTACTGATTTTTTGGAAAGTTCGGAATTTCTGTAAAATCAAAGTGGGGTGTTACAGCGTCACTCGTGTAAACCAGAATGTCGTCGATGAAAACAATAACATACCGGTCTAAGTATGGATGGAAGACCCGATACATCAAGTTTATAAATATTGCCGGTGCATTACTCAACCCGAACGGCATCACTACGAAATTGTAGTGACCATACCTCGTTCTGAACGCCGGATTTGATACATTTGTCTCCTTGATTTTCAACTGATGGTAGCCCGATCGTAAATCAATCTTTAAAAATAAGCTCGCTCCCCTCAACTGGTCAAACAGGTCCTCTATTCTCGGAAGCAAATACTTGTTCTTCACGTTCAACCGGTTCAGCTCCCTGTAATCGATGCACATTCTCAACGTTCCATCCTTATTCTTCACGAAAAGTACAGGTGTACCCCATGGAGAGACGCTCGGTCGGATAAATCCAAGATTGAGCAACTCCTGAATCTGGGTTTTGAGCTCTTGCAGCTCCTTCAGTGCCATCATGTATGGTGCCTTGGACACTGCTCCGACTTCGGAGATCAGGTCAATAGTGAACTCCACTTGTCTATCCGGTGGTCCTCTTAGCAGCTCGTCTGGATAAACGTCGCGGTATTCATAAACGATCGATACTGACTCGGGAGACGGCTCCTCCTTCTGGCTCCCGACTACACTCACTAAGTAGCCCTGGCAACCACTCTGCCAAAGACTCTTCACCGCCTTCATGCTAGATACGACTCTGGATACGGTCCTAGTCTAGGCTCCGAAAAACACGATTCGATCATCTCCTGGCAATTGCAATGTCACCTGTCGCTGGTGGCAGCTGATGTCGGCACGGTACTTTGTCAACCAGTCCATCCCTAGAATAATGTCAGAGTCCTTTATGTTGATAACGTATGTGTCTGCTTCTAGGTCACGTCCTCCGATGTTCATCTTCAACTCTTGTACCATAGTGTTCGTAACAATCGTCTTCCCCGGGGCTAGGCTGACCTCTAGGGCATCGACTGCACTCACACTCTAGACTCCAATCGCTTCCAAAGAGTTCGATGAAATAAAAGAGTGCGTCGCTCTGGTATGAAACAATGCGAATACAGGTATACCATGCATAGAAAGCATTCCAGACATAGTACCTTGATTATTTGCTGCCCAAGCTGGGTCAATGCGAACATACGCGCTCTACCTCCCTACCCATGCTGCTGGTTAAAGCTCAAATCATATGTTTGAAGTTGACTAGAGTTCTCAATTGTTTAAGAAGGATAAGTTCTAAGCTCCAAATGAATATGCATGTGCTATGACTGACTTACTGTTGGGGTATACAGTAAAGCAAACTTTTATGTGAGCTTTTGGATTGTATTTATTCGATTTCCCATTTGAACTGAAATAAATGTTTTCACATTGTTGCATTCTTTATGATTGCTTGTATGCTAAATGTCCAATTATCTTATATTGTAGACAATGTGGTGTGTTAGTAGTCACACAGAAGATTACATTGTCGGTCCCTTATAAGATATAAATGGTATTCACAACTGAGAAAGTTATGGACATGACTATCGGTTTAGGTTGTAGTATAAACTGGATATAGCTTGTCTTGGCTATTGGTTTATACTAGTGCGCTGCGTCGCATTGAATGGATCACAGTTGAGACGTGTTCTTCTGTTCTAACTATCATGAAGAACCTAGGTCTCAGTGACTCTACTAATTCTTAACCCTAAATGTGATACTTAGATGGGAAATTTTATTATCAGATTTGCCTCGTACCAGCTTCGTACCTACCTAACATTAGGTTCCCCTTTAAAATCCTGCCACATGTCCTCTTAATTAATTAATGACGAAAATAATAAAAAAAGAAGCTAGTGTAAGTACTTAAGTACCCTTAATTAAAAAAATTATAAACTAGGGTGTTTAACTATTACTTTATTTTTATTCTACCCTAATTACATTTAAATATTCCAATTAGGCCACGAATTGAAAATAAATTGAAAAGAAAGGAGTGCAATCTGGTTGTAAGGATATTTGACGCAGATTGAAGTATAAGAATCTGGTGGCAAAATTCAATAACATGCCGGTAGTTGGAGCCGGTACACAATTGGAGTTGAACTAGTGTTTTGAACTAGTGTTTTGAACTTTTGATGTATTCCATATCAGGTGATTAATATATTGTTATAATGAACTTGATGAAGATATAAAAGTAACATAAAAAATGGGCGTTGGCTTGCGTCGGTTATGAAAAAGAAGGATGTTTCACATGCGGCATACATGATTTTCTGTTTTTCGAATTCGATGAGTTTGCCTCAGTTACTATATTTTTTACAGTACAAACAAAAACAAATAAATCAAATTTCAACATCAACATCAAAAGTCGACTGAAGAGCATCATTGAAAGATATTTGAGCGACTTCCCTCATATCAAATACCAGCATGCATTTGTTGTGGCACTTGAAGCCATTTGTTTGGAGAAAAGTTTCCTTTATTTTTTTGGGAAGAAATAAATAATCGATCATTGTATAATGTAATTGATAATAATGACAACAATCAATACCAGAAAAACCAAATGAGTACCAACAGTAAAATAGTGTTTTCTAAACCAAAAAAACCAACAAATACCATCAGTGATCCAGAATAACATAATCAATATCTGTCATGTAGGATGCGAATATGACATTATCTCCGAATATGACAATAACCGTCAACTAATTATTTATTCCCATTCAATTTGAATATCAACTACAGGCCGACGATTGTCGATATAACTCATTACATATTTCTGCAATTCCTCAGTCGTTGTTATTGGAATGTCATAACTCGATCTCTTCACGGGATCACGACCTGCGTAAATAGGCACTGAATCTTCGAGCGGGGGTCTAGCGGCATACCTCAATAGTATCGACAGTGGTTGAATAGTTATTTTTCTCGAGTCAAAGCGTTCACCACCGTGGACTTCAGTACATGAATTCTTACTCCTAACGAAGAAACCAATCATAACCCTACAAACATATTACTACAACATTAATGAACATTTAAATGTGAATGCTTAACAATTTAAAAAATGATTGTAAAATACCCTGAAATTTATTACAATGTACATTATGTACATACGTATACGAAAAACACTTACATGCTATTGTATTTGGCTGTGTATAGCGTAGAAATCAACCTTTTCCTTGCTTCATTAGACTCATCCTGTTCGCAAAAATATTGAACTCATAAGTAATTTTGATTATTTTATCCACATTAATTATACCTGCCAACTTGTATTTACCTCCGTAAGTACACGCCAAGTAAGATTTGACGCAGTGGAACGACATAACATCTGAAGACAAACATACAGACCGCAATCGTGTCTGCCGAATAATTAATTATAAGTTAGAACAAAACAACAATTCGGTAAGGAATATAATGCAATGTCGTTATAGTGAACCAAGGATGATGTACGTACCCATTGAGTTGTTGTGGAACACTTGGGTCGATCACACACGCGAACGTCGTTGCAATATTTTTAGCCATAAACCCATCCCCGTCCCATGAAGAGACAATCCGCTCCAGACGGCTTATCTAATGTGGAATAGTAAAATATTACAAATTACATCCAAATAAAAATAAATAAATAAACCATAAGGCCGCAAAAAATTAATCAAATTCAGTTCAAGTATGTTACCACATGTTTATCTTTTTCCAACCTCCCCTCATTTGTCCGTCCCAAAATTAAGGTATCGCAGATGCGTATAACGGATCTTGTAATATCAACAACGCATATGAACCAGTGCGTATTCGAATCCGATATAGGGATCGTTATACTTAAACATTTGTCCGCACGATCAGTAAATATTTTATATCAGAAACACATAGATTGAATTGATGCGTCACTGAGCGATGACATAACCATTCCCTGCATTTCAAATAATGTTTCATTGAATATATGGTATTATTTTAGGAAGTTAATATTATTTAAGTGTCTCACACTGAATGTTGCCGGTAAAACCCAATGGCGTTTTCTAGGAACTTTCTTGGGCGGATCCATTGCTTCATAAATAGGATTCACTGCTATATGTATAGCGACAAAATCAATGACCTACAAAAGGAAGGATTAACTCAATAAAGGGAGAAGTAAAAGTAAAAAATGAATATAATTATAGTTAATTCATTTTTCATATTATCTCACAAGAGATGAAAACCAGTTTGGGTATTCAGCACTTAACAACTCAGCCCTCGACGCCATCCATTCGTCATAATTGATCAACATCTTTCTGAACAAAATAGTTCGTAGACAATTGTGCAATTACTATACAATTGGCAACCAAAGTGTAAGGATTTTATATGTTATTTTTTAAAAAAAAATCCTTAATTTCCCATGGTTTCGTTATCTTACCCTTGATCCAAGTTAGCGTTGAAAACATAATCTGACACTTCTTCGTCAAGAACTGTAATATCTCTAAAATATTCGAACATGTCTCTTCCATTGATGCAGGTTGTTTCTATTCCCTTGCTGGCGGTTGGTTCTTCTTCATCACTGGAGGTTGGTTCTTGTTCATCACTGGAGGTTGGTTCATGTCCCGTGCTGGTGGTTGGTTCTGGATTGCATATTCCTTCTGACAATGCATCAAAATCCAACTTGTTAGGTTCGATTGGTTGATCAAACCATGTTGGTTGATCCAACCATGTTGGATGATTATTCTGTTTAGGCAGTGACTCTTTTGCAGCCGTAAATTCCTCCTTTTCTTTTTTCTTATTCCGTTTACGCATGTCATCTCTTACAGCCATATATTGTTCGAACAGAGACTTTTTTTTTATCACTTTGTACTTTGACTGATTCGAAAATGTTTCCATCTTCTCGAATAGCATCTTCTCTTCGCTTATGGTCTTTCAGCGATTCTTTTTTATCATTTTCTCCTTTGACTGATTCGGAAATGTTTCCATCATCTCGAATTGCATCTACTCTTGGCTTATTGTCTTTCAGCAAGTTGATTATAGCGGACACCCCCTGACTAACTAAGGTTAGTTGCTCAATGATCTTGTCTGTTAAATCAGCTTGATAGTTGATTCTTTTGGCTCATTATCCTTTGACACAGCCCCATCCTTCGTCATTTCATCCAACTGATGACGAAATTTCCAATTCTTCATAAACAACTCATTCACATTTTTAAATCATCTTATTTTATTAAATATAAACATATATGAATTATTACAATAATTACGTCATTAACCCAAATTAAATAACAAATAATTGACGTCGGATACTTACAAATTTTTCTTCATAGCCGCCCATTTCTTTAAACACTGTAATGGTTCTATTCATGTCTTGCTGGGTCCACTGCTCTAAATATGGGGATCCAGAGTGCAATTGTTTGCAAGGGAAAATTGTCGTAACATAACCAAGAAAAACAACCTGTTGTTGTTTAAAATTAAATTTCAAAGATATATGTATAAATATTTACATAATACACTAGTGAAAAAAAAAATTACCTGCAACAATAAAATGCAACCCGTGACATATGAGTGTTTGTAGGATTGGACTGCCGTTGCGCCTGCATCAACCCTACGTAGAATTATTTCACACCAATTGTAGTCTTGTACTGCATTCAAATCATCCAAGTAGTCCAGAAATTCAAAATCTGTAGACAACTTATCCTTAGTTCGTGGAAATAACACTGTCGCAAACAGTAGCATCAAATAGGGTACGACAAATTCAGGTCCGGTTGTCTCGCAATTGGAAACAAATTCCTGTAGCTCAGAATACCCC